GACACAAAGACAAAAGATCCCACGTGTAGCCTCAACAGACTGTTGGGGCAAGTGCTGTTAACGAGCACCGATGAAGGCCGGGACGTCACACGAAGGGTGATGTGGCCGGCACCACGCCCGGCCGCCTTTGTCTCCCTGGTGTAGATTTTTACGCATTGCATCGGGTACTCATTGGGGGCTAAGTCGACCTAGGTGAATCCCAGGACTAATCGCAGGACTCGTTCAGATACCCGTCACTGGTGTTGGCTGCGAGTGGGAATCAAACTCGGGTCGGTTGGGCTTGTACTGGGTTCAACTGAGTCACAGACGTACTCTTTGGAGCCAACACATTTATTGAAACCAACACAAACGGGTAACTTGCTCCTTCACCAGATAAGAACCTATGGTGGTGGACCACCAGGCTAACTACACTAATTACACTGGGAGTAGGGGGCCGTCCATAAATGACGTCACTCGATTTTGAACGATTTTTGATCCCCCACCCCACCCCATCGTCACACGGCGTCACAAAAAGTCAGACCCCCCTCAAATATGACGTCACAAAGCTCTGCCCCCCCCCCTCCAAAAAACATGCTTCAAATCGCTTTAAACTACGTATTGTCATTGTAGTGCGTATTTAAATTGCCGCTGCACTCTGATGTTGTAGGAGAAAACATTTATCAAAAAGTCTATTTAATTAAACTAGAACGTGTTATCTATATTTATTTAAAGTTGCGCATTTTGATGTACACGTCACATTTCTCACCCCCCCCCCTCGTCACACATCGTCACAAATGTCTGACCTCCCCCCCCCCCTAGGTGCGTGACGTCATTTATGGACGACCCAGCTTGGGTCCAGGTGTTGGTGACTCTTCTCGGACGTAGAACGTAGATTCTTCAGGATATTATTTGGGTCTTTCGGTAAAGCCACGTAGATTGTGATAACCACATCAGCAGGTCCCTCTGGGGGACCCGGCTTGTATCCTCCGTGGTGTGGCTGGCTCCGCCCTTAGCCACGCCCACCTTCGAGAACCCTCGAGCAGGATCTCGGCCCTGACACGTGACCACCCCAAGCCCCCACCTGAGAGTACCATGACCCTGAGTAACCCCATTCTCGTGGCCGGCACTCTCAAACCCTATCCTGTAGGGGTCGGCACTGCACAGTGAAATCCGCGATGTCACTCCAGGTTCGTAGCGTGGCGCTCTAACCACTACCCCGCCGTGACACAGAAGACCGTTATCTTTAAGTATATATAACATGATGATGATTGCTTGTGTTGCAGTCGAAACGTCGTGAGAATTTTATTGTTTTATTATTTTATTATTTTAGTGTTTCCCTTCTACGTGACTTTACCGAAAGAACCAAGAATATGAATCCCTGCAGTCACGAAAGCTTTAAATCAAAATGTATATATAACCTCTTGTTGTAACAGCTCTCTCGCTGGTTCAGCAGTTCCACTGCTGGATTATTTTTTTCCGCCTGAGGACGACCGCTTGTGTTGCGATCGAAACGTCTTGAAATATTATTTTTTATTTTGTTTTATTTTTCTACCCACGTGACTTTACCGAAAGAACCAAAGAGTATATATTCAAGCAATTAGAGTATCCGGACTGCGAATACGATGACTTCTTATAATAATAATAACCACCATGCCATCAATAACTCTGGACTATGTTTAAAGAGGCACTCATTTCACGGGGTCATAACTATACATTGCAAACTGGAATCATATTTTTCAAATGCGTATCTTGTCCAGTAAATTAAACATATTCGTTTTCATGAAACGAGCAACGACAATCACGATTTAACGATACCGTTTTGTCGAACTAACGAAACGATTATCGTGAACCATATATCGTGAACGATATTAATGTAGGCGCTTGTATATCGCAGAAGTGTGTGTGTGCGCGCGCGTAACTCCACGTGTTCATCGAGACTTACCTGCACGACGCGGTCTCGTCCACGTGTCTGAGTGGCGAGACGCGAGTTTGATGGATGCGTGTGATCAGGTAGCACACAGAAGACAGAGAGGTCCCCGCGTAAAGCCTACGCGCACAGGTGTGGACAAGGGCTTGTCAGTGAGCACCTATTAAGAAGGGTGGCGCAGCGCACGAGTGGAAGAAAGAAAAAACCCAGCACGTAGCGCACACTCACAACACAACAAACTCACTTGTAGCCCAGGTGTGCTGCTATGCGACGTGAATTCTCCACTGCTGGCTTTTATCACGATTCGTGGTCCGGGGCGGAGTCAGGCGGATGGATAGATGATCGCTCGTTGGTTGCCGAGAGGTGGCGTTTTTGATGTGGATTTCTTTTTTTTTGGGGGGGGGGGGGGGGTGGATTATGACAACAATATTCGTAATGCACGGATTATGGGCCTGCGGAATACAAGACGAAACCCAAATCTGATAACGCACCGAGAGCTTTCACAGCGAAATAAAGCCGAGATTTGTGCGACAGATGCGGTTGTGTTGAGCCGACCGAACATCTGCCTGTGTGTGTGCGCGCGCGTGTGTGGGAAGCGATGTGGTTAGGTAGCAGCGGTGGTTTCATTTCTTCTCGGTCACAGTTCTACATTTGAAGTTTTCGTGACTGCAGAGATCCGTACTCTTTGGTTCTTTCGGCAAAGTCACGTAGGTACAAAATAAATTAAATCACGACGTTTCGGGCGCAACACAAGCGTGATGACAGACGCTTGTGTTGCGCCCGAAAACGTCGTGATTTAATTTATTTTATTTTATACCTACGTGACTTTACCGAAAGAACCAAAGAGCACAGTTATACCCTTCCCTTATCTATGCTTGCGAAACGTGGAGCCTTCTGTTTTGGATGAATAGAGGGGGCTTGACGGGCACGGCACGGGCTAGAAAAGAGATGGGCTGATGTGGTACAGGAGGATGCGAAGCTGCGTAGACTTGCCGACGTACTGATACCAGTGGTGCCATGTCAAGATCGGCCTCTATGGAGGAGGTCCGTGAAGGACGTTATTGGACAGTCGGAGGCAGTCGCCCTCCAAACAACACGGCGGAGGCCGGAGGAGCGACGCTCACAACAATGTGCGGAGCTCCAGGCGGATAAAACGCAGCAAGGGCGTGGGGAGCACAGCTGGCGCATCTGCCAGTGATCGAATTCAGTCGACCCGTGGCACCTGCAGGGTCTGTCCTGTGACCTCCTGCCAGCGAGCCTTCGACACTTCACGTGGCCTCGAGGTGCACCTAACCTGGCACAAGCGACGTGGTTGACGTCACCTCCACGAAGTGGCACATGACGGCTGTTGTTGTGGGTCGCTGTTGCGGGTATCGGTGCCACAGTCGGTCAGCGCTACGCCGCGCTACGAACACCGGTGGCGATTATCTGAACCGGTTATGGGCCTCCTCTAGGTCGACTGAGCCTAAAATTAGCACCTGGCGCGGTGTGTAAACATCGCCACTGGGGAGACAAAGGCGGCCGGGCGTGCTGATAGCCATACTACCCCCTCGTGGGGCCGTATTTATCTTATAGTGGAACACAGTGTCGCTGTCTTTCTGTTTGTCATTCTTTGGAGGAGCGTGGTCAGTCTGGTGGGGTGTTGGCTGGTGTGTTGGCCGGTTCTTTGTGTTGCGTTGCATTGTGTTTCTAAGTTTACTATGGGTTTTTTTCTCATTCATTCTTACCTGATGACGGTTGCTTTTGTTACAATAGAAACGTCGTATTCTATTATTTATTTATTTAATTTTTTGCGTGCCTTTACCGAAAGAACCAAAGAGTAATTCCTGCAGTGACGAAAGCTTCGAATCTATTGTGTGGCTGTTTGCGATGCTTGCGGGGTTAGAGTGTTTGTAGATTTTGTGGTGAGTGGTGTGAAGCCGTTTTGAAGCCCCGCGCCATGGAAATTCGCTGGAGTTGGGTTATAAAAAAAATAATCTTCGTGACCATGGCAGATGCGGGTACCTAACACACACAATGGAAAATTAAAATTGTCCAGTGTGGGACTGCGGTCATCCAGAGCACATACCTGTCAACGCCTTATCAGTGCCCTGCCTGATTACAGACCAATTCAGACCTTTTTGGTCATCCCGTGTCCCTTATAAATCTCAACGTTCATTCTCAAAAGTCCCATCACAAGGGAGAAACACAAAGAAATAGACAGATCAATGTTTCTTGCCCGTATTGAAACGGCTGCACGCCGTATGGAAAAACATGCTTCAAATCGATAAAAACTATTGTCATTGTAGTGCGTATTTAATGTGCCGCTGCACTTTGATGTTGTAGGAGAAAACATTTATTAAAAAATATATTCAATTAAGTAGAACGTGTTCTCTATATGTATTTAAAGTTGTGCATTTTTATGTGACGTCGCATTTCTCAACCCCCCCCCCTCGTCACACATCGTCACAAATGTCTGACCCCCCCCCCCCCTAGGTGCGTGACGTCATTTATGGACGGTCCCTAAGAGCGCAGTGAGCTTAACCAGGTAAGAATGCAAAAAAAACATTGTTTAGTTTTGTTAATATTCATTTTTAAGTGATTTATTTATCTTTCCTATACTTTTGCACTCCTATTGTGCTTTTGTATTGTTTGTTGTTGTAACGTTCTGACCTGCCACCTACTGGAGATTTGTGTTTAAAAAAGAGAAGCGCTTTATATTCTAGAGTTGAAGCTTTCGTGACTGCAAGGATTCATACTCTTAGGTTTTTTTCGGTAAAGCCACGTAGGTAAAAATAAATAATTAAAAAAATAATAGAAATAATAATATACTTTTATTTATTTATTATAATAAATAGAATAAATAATATTATTATTGTAATAATTGTATTTCTATTATTATTTCTATTATTTTTTTATTTCATGATTTATTTTTACCTACGTGACTACCGAAACAACCTAAGAGCTTTATCGCTCATCGGATTCCTCCAGATATAAATAAATATTATTACGAGCCGTTGCGTGATGACGTCACGAACCCACGCGCCGACGAGACGGCGTTGCGCGGTGACGTCACGAGACCACGCGCAGCGACGTCGTGACGTCACGCCACAAAGCCCAGAGACGTCGTTTGGCTTAAAATGGAGGGAGCGGAGGAGAGCGGTTTCGGCGCGGGCAGAGCGGGTGGCGTCTTCGACATCGTGGCCTTCTTGAAGAAGCCGCTCACCATCCTCAGGCTGCTGAGCTGGGTGAGCGCGGTAGATGCATGAAGAGAGGAGAGGGGATGGCGTTGACGCGGCGGCGTAGCGGTGCGAGGGGAAAGACCGAGTGCTTAGGCCGGCGCCTCGGTCTCGCCTGAGTGACTGCCCGGAAGGTGGCTCTGTGGGTCGGCTCACGGTGCGCGCACGAGGGTGGTGGGGGTCACCCGTCCTGCCTGTACGGATTTTTATTTTCTAACACTGCAAAATCGCCACCTCGGGTGTGAATGGTTTCATCGTGATATTTTCCAGCGTAGCTTTGATTCGGGTCACGAACGTAGACTTTCAACCACTGCTTCAGAAAGTCTTTAAAGGATTGAAGGAAGCGATGGCGAGGCTCTGTGTAGGCATCTTAAGCCGGAAAACATTTCCCTCAATCCCGGAGCGCTGTAGATGTCTCGTCAATTGTAGACCGTCCAATTTTTTTTACAGCGTTTTAAAGCAAACCTATCGTCACATTTAGTTGTATATTGTCATTTTACAGTAAAAAAAAATTGTCAAAAAATATATACAATCCCTGAAGATGTTATCACGTTTATACATAACGTTACAAGTACTGTGTATTGTATTGCCCTGTGATGTTTATTACATTTGGCGGCTGTTAACGATACTTTCGTTACACGGCCCACGTTTGTCAGCGTGGTTTTCCACGTTGCCTCCATGGGCCACTGTCACACGGCTAAGTCGAGCGCGTTTACGCTCGTCAACAACAACAACAAACCCCGTGGCGTTTTCGAAGGGCCCGTGTGTAATTACAGCAAAGATGATGTTGCGAGGCCATGGCTTTAAATAGTGGCGATGTCCGGGGCAGGGTGGTGAGCATTTTTGTTTGTTATGATGGCGGTGATCATGGTGGATTATGATGATGCACTTGTTGTGGGTATATCATGGGACCTCCTTTGTCAGTACCAAAATATGAGAATAAGTATTCCCCTTTTTCTCTGGCCACAAAACAGGAATTGAGATGTTAAAACACCAAACTGAAACCTTTTACAAGGAATCACGTCTGCATTAACCACATGGCTTGTGGTCAGAATTGAAACAAAAAACACTGATAATATATTGCCATTGTCCTTGAAACGGATTGGTCCACACCAGAGGCAGCTTTCCTTTGAGCCTCGTCTTGGGGTGGAAATCTGCACCCAAACAAGGACGCAGTCGTTGTGGGTTAAAGCGGCGGTCCCACGGCCTTAATTGATCATTAATCTCGCGGGACCGCCGTGATTTTGGCAGAGAACGTGTTATTGAGTGACTCAGGCAGCCAGCTATGGCTACGGGGTTTGGTCGTACATGTTATGTATATCGTTTGTTGTTGTATTTGAATCACAGTTCCTATGATCACTGTTCCATTGTCTTTGTGGCTTTATTTTGGTGATTTTGAGCACGGTTCGGTCTGGCCATGCTTGTTTGTTGTAGTACAGAGTTGGCCTGATAACTTTAATCTACATTGTCTTATGGTTGTTATTGTTTGACTTACATCCCACTGGAATTTTTGCACACAGCGTTGAAATGCGGTGTTTTTTTCTTGAAGACTTTGCTGTTTTTTCCAGGATTTTTTTTCTGTTGCGTGTAGTCACTTTAAGATGTTTATTGTTCATGTTTTTGTTTTGTTGCACCCGAGTCAAGAGCCGCATGGCTCACAGGGTTCTACCTAGTAAATAAAAGAAACTAAAACGTGGCAGCGGCGCGTTCTTGATGCGGGCAGCCAGGCCGGGCGGGCCTGCCTTGGCCTGTTCGCGTCTGTCCATCCCAGTTTTTCGTTATCCGTGGCTCGCACTATGTTACGTTTTTTACACTCTCTCGGTGTTTAAGACGAGACTCAAAAGAAAGCTGTCTCTGGTGTGGACCAATCGGTTTCAAGGACAATGCATATATTATCAGAGTGGTTTTTTTGCATTCTGACCACAATTATTGTGGTTAATGCAGGCATGATTCCTTGTAAAAGGTTTCAGTTTGGTGTTTTAACATCTTAAAACCTGTTTTGTTGCCAGAATAAAGGGGAAACCCCTATTATCCATGTTTTTTTTTGCATTCTGACCACAAGTATTGTGGTTAATTTCAGACACGATTCCTCGTAAAAGGTTTCAGTTTGGTGTTTTAACATCTCAACACCTGTTTTGTTGCCAGAAAAAGGGGAAAACGTATTCTCACTTGTGGGCATGCTTGTGTTGTTGATTGACTTGGTGTTTTGGCGACGAGCCTGCGTTTCTCGATCTGTAGATATCACGGCATTAAAGCGGGGCGGATGATTTTCTTTTTAATGTCGGCAGATGTTGCGGATGATGGACTTGTTGACACGTTTGTGTTGATGAGTCACTGTTGCTGTTTGTGACTATCGTGTCGCGTGAGGCTGGCGATAATGGATGATGCACAACTTCGTGGACGTTGGATGATTAACAAACGACGTTGAAGGTCGTGGAGTGATCATTCATGGACGAGCGTGCCGTGGGTTGTGCTGACGACAATGGTTGATGGTTATGAGGAACGTGTCGGTGTAGTTATCGATCATCGTCGGCCATTATCGATCCACTGCTGGATGAAGGCCCCACCCCAAGATACCGTACCATCCGATTTCATCGCTCCATCTTGGCGGCGTAACATAACCCGGGCGTGTTCCCTTATTTTCTGACACACCACCACCATCATCATTAAAAGGCCTGGCCTTTTATGTTTTCTCTTCTGGGGGGGGGGGGGGGGGGAATCTGCACCCAAACAAGGACGTGGTCGCTGTGGGTTAAAGCGGCAGTCCCACGGCCTTGATTGATACTTCATCTCGCGGATTCACCGTGATTTACGCAGAGTACGACGTGGCAACGCCGCGTTCTTGATGCGGGCAGCCAGGCCGGGCAGGCCTGCCTTGGCCTCTTCGTGTCTGTCCGTCCGTGGTTTTCGTTATCTGTGGCAGGCACTATGTTGGGTTTTTTTTCCCCTCTCTCTTTCTCCCGATGTGATTATATCGAATGTCGGTGTGCGTGGAATCCTCACGGAAGTGCAGTGCATCTAAAAGGAGTGAACGAATAACTGTGCGCGTAACAAGTTGAAATTATTATTATTTCGAATTTCACTCCCAATAAAATGGTAGAGTTTTTTGCGAACGTCCAATGCCCACCACCACGCCTGCGACAGAGACGCCTCTATCGCCTCCAGAAAGAGCCACGTCGACTCGAGCTGCGCACTAATTGTGTTTGCTTTCGTTAATAAACAACCCGGAGCGCCGCCGCTCGACGTTGCTTGCGAACGGTTCACGTCATTCTTTGTTTTTTTCGGTAAAGTCACATTAAATAATAGCATATGCTATTATTTAATTTATTCTTTTATCTTTATACGTGACTTTACCGAAAAAACCAAAGAATAATTCCTGCAGTCACGAAAGCTCCAAAAATTAAGGTTCACGTCATCATTATGATCGTGGCACCTCCATCGTTGTAATTGCACACATCCTATCCCCCTGAATGTCAAATTAGTCTCCAGGACCGGTTTTGTTTGCTTCAGACATGCTGTACAACACAGCATGGTCGACGTGGTAGCACACTGGGTGCCATGTGACCATTGTCAAAGTCTGCTAGCACGCCTGGGTCTGAAGTTTGATTTGAAAACTAATGTCGTGTTTGTCATAATTATTTTATTAATTTAGCGGCCCCCGCATCCTTTGGACGTATCCGTTCCTCCCTCGTACTATAATTACTCCTACTATATCGGACATTTGTCTGATTTAGTATGAAGTATGAATCATAGTTATTTTTGAAAAAGGGAAATTGCGTGAAAATAATTCCGCTTGCAAAGCGACCAAGATGTGTGTTCCTGTTTTTTGTGTGTTTTCTATATTTCATCATCGGTTATATCCATCGCTCTAAGACCCAGGACATTGATCAACTTGTACTAATGCACGGCTTCAGTAGCCCTTTAACCCTGCTATGAGCCCTGCTATCGCTTTCCGAGTCTACAAATAGAACAAATCGACTCTCTACTTCCACTGAGAAATCAACTTCTGCCTCTTCGATTTAACAACATCGACAACTTAAATTTGTAATGTTTCCATAACCTAACGACACGTCTCAAGAGTGCAACATTTAATATGGGAAAAAAACATGAGCGAATGCGATGGGGAATGAGCAGGGGGAAAGGTTTAAAAGTTTGACTGTGTTGAGTCGCCTATACGAAGAGAATAACTACATGATGTCTGTAGAGTCAGGTGGTGTGTCCACGACTAATTTAAAATGTAGTTGCAGGGTGGGGGAAATCAAGGATGGTTTCTGTTTGACAATTCTAGAAAGTGGCAGCCATATGGCTGCTAGCAAGTCATGTGCTTTGGGTTCACAAGTAAACAGACGAGGAAAAGGAATTTCACCGTGATGAAACTTGTCTCGGGGGTGGAGGGTGGGGGCTTACTGTTTATCAGACACAACTCTCAGCATCACTCTCTAGTGACGGGGGGGGGGGGGGGTGTCCTCTCTTAGAACAAGAATGTTCTGCAGGAGAGAAATATATAAATCTATCGAGTGACGGCGAGGTGTGTGCTGCTACTACCACCCGGGCATTGCGCCACAAGCAGTGGGGGTGGCTCATGTGAGTGTCTTGTGATGTGAGAGTTCCTGGCACCCTCCCTCCCCCCCCACTTCTCTGCGGGTGTCCCGCGTGACCTGTTCTCATGTGACCTGTTCTCATGTGACCGTACCAGCTCGGCCTCCCGTAAGGCTGATGATGCCACAGGCTTTCCTGACTCATTCCCTGTAATGGAGGGCCACTTTGTACAAAGTGCCCATGAGCAGACGTTTTCGTCAATGTGTTGCTGCTGATGAGGGCTTGCTATTGTTTTTGTTGTTGTGACTTGCTAACCCCCCCCCCCCCCCCCCAGTACTTATCTCTGAAAAAATTACTTCATAGCTCATCCGATTCCTCCAGTCTAAATCAAGATTCTGATTCACGCCGCGAGTGTTGTGGGGGTTATTGAACCACGCTTCTCCTCGTTGGTCAGTGTAGGTTGGTGAAGTCGTGTAGCAGCAGTGTTTTGCAAACGTGTGCCGTGTTACATTTGGAATTATAGGAGAAGACAACCCTCGTGTCCCACCTCCCCTCTCTTGGTCTGTGCAACACGGCACACAGACGTCAGCCCCCACCCCCGGCCCTCTCAACTCCCTCGGTCGCGCATTCGCAGTTGGAAAAACACACAGATAGGGAAGGAGACACGGAGACACAGAGACATACAGTGACATGCAGAGACACGGACAAGAATACACTCGCACACAGACATGGAGAGAGAGAGACGCAGGGACATGGAGACAGAGCCACTCGCGCAGACACGAACACACTCGCGCAGTTGGGCAAATTCGTGTCACGCTTGCAAAGCGACCAGGGGATTGTAAATTCTGTCGCGACTACAACACATTCCGACTGACCCACCCGGGCTCACAGTGATGTTGTGGTTCGCTATGCCACCAAGATTGAGCTAGCTTGAATGTGTGCTTTGGATTGAAAAAGGTTAAGAAGCTCTGCTGTGTACAGCACTTGATTTCGCTGCACTGCCTTCTGATGCCCACCATGCAATCCCACAATAACACAGGCTGCCCCGCTCACAATGTGGGCTTTTGACCACGCCTTAACCATGCTGGTTGCTGTGGGTTGGTGAAGGTGGAGAGCGTCGATGTGGGAGCATAGAAGTACGATACAGCGATGGACATTGCTGCGCTCTCCTTAGCTGCCCACCGCGTAGCACGGCAGTCTGCGACAACACGTCCGGTTGTTGTAGGCTGCATGTGGGGGTTATGCATCCAAGTACCAGCTAAGCGTATCCCTGCTTCGCTTCTAAGATATGACGAGATGCACTCAGGGTGATTTGGTAATCGGTGGGAGGGGGACCCTTTTACAACTGACACTCAACACCCACATCTTCTCCTTCACCTTCAAGTCAACCTTTTAATTTTGACGACAAACCCTCGTTAAATGTCATGTGCTTGTTCTGGGTGTGGTTTTGTACACATACACCTACTCGGATATCTAATTCCATCAATCATTGTACATTTCACACATTTACCTTTGGCGTAACTGCATACTTGGTTTAAACAAATGCTGTGGGAGAGGCTTTGTTGACATTTGTAAACAGTAGTAAATAATGTAACTATTTATGTCTAAAAAAACTTACATGATTCGCAAAACTTTTTTCTGGATCGTGCCACATTGTGGTATTTAGGCACAATTCTATTTTATGAGTATTTTGCTTGTGGGAGGTAACTCGGAGAACCCAGACGATGTCCACGTATACGAGATGATAAAATTCTACCATTGTAGGTTAACCCCACTCGCTGTACTGCCACCTCAATGATCTCCTTGCAGACCCCGGTGAGATTAGCACTCAAAAATGTTTTGCGCGTCCTCCACAATTTAGAACCTCCGAAGTGGCATGCGCCGCACCCGGCATGTAGTCTGTTTAATTAGTGAAGCGCGTGTGTGTGTGTGAGAGCGGTCATGGGCATCACTTGGGTCGAATTGGTCTCAAATGAGTACCTGATCCGATGTGTAAACATTGCCACTCGGGAGACAAAGGCTGCCGGGCATGACGCTGGCCTGTCCAGCCCTCTCGTGTGCCTGGGTTAACCTTCACATGTGCTTGGTAACAACACTTGCCCCTAATGTCTGTTAAGGCTATATGGCGACCTTTGTTTTGCACGAGCGTGCACACGAAAAGTTTTTATTTCTTTAGTCAACAATGACTTGGGAGGATAAAAATCGTCAGGCATGGTGATGCCTACGATTACCCACTCAAGAACAAAGCATGACTAAGGCGAGATGACATTAACTAACCTGAATGAAGACTTGTAGACAATCTCGAAACATTAGATAATTCAGCACACTGAAGACAAAAAAACGAGAATTGGGTAGAAATGTTTATGTAATATTTCCATAATTGGCTGACCTAATAATAATGGGGGAAGGGGGGGGGGGTTACTCACCTCTCACACCAACATTTGATGACTAAGAGTTTTACTAAATGTTTGACTGCTTTACCAACGATACTAGGAGAATAACAACATGAGAGCCACAGGTTAAGACTTGACGAAAATTTCACGGTATGTACGTATGTTGAACCTCTTTCGTGTACCGCACGTAGCCAACGTCCTAATCAGAAGTGCGGACGGTCGCAGGTTGTCGAATAGACTAAGTGAAATAACAAATGCTGATTACATTAACACTGGTTGGTGTGTGTGTGTGTGCGTGCGCGTGGCCGCCCGCTTGTTGCAGATCTTCGCAGTGGTTGTGCTCGCCTGCATCACTAATGAGGGCTACGCCAACTTCGATGCAAAAGGGCCCCCGACCCAGTGCATCTTCAACATGAACGGCGACGCGTGCCGCTACGGCGTCGCCATAGGCGTCATCGCCTTCCTGGCGGCCACACTGCTACTTGTGTTGGACCTGTACGTGCCAAGCATGGCGGGCCCGCTGGACCGCAAAAACATTCTGCGCGTCGAGGTCGTCTTTTCCGGTCAGCGTTCCCACGCCCTACCGACGGCACCTGTGCACTCATCGCCCGCCGCTTTAGCACGGCCCATTCTCAAAATGCTTCGCATTTAGATGCTGCGTTAGTCGACTTTGCGTCCTACAGGGTGATAGATTTATGGCCACGAACCGCCAACACCGTCTCTCTGCGCAGCACATTCTTGCAAAGATGTCGTCGCACTTGGACGCCGTAAATCTACGTCATGTTTTTGTGCGCTTGATTTGTCACGTAATATATGGGGGGGGTCATGGTTCGCCACTTAATTTCTTCTCGTGCGGTGCACGTGGAATCTATGAATCTGAAACAACGACGCGCGCATGATTCGGTGCGCACTTGCCGTGGCACCTGTCTCGTCTTAGGAAGGGGGGGGGGCCTGCGGGTGGCAACTGTGCGAGTATAAACTGAGGCGCGGAAACAGTGGGGGTTGCTTGCCAGAGGTGTTAACGGCTCGGCCATGTGCTGTTGTTGTCGTGTGGTGCAGTGCTGTGGACGTTCATGTGGTTCGTGGGCTTCTGCTTCTTGACCAATCAGTGGTCGAAAACATCGCTTCAAAAGAACGGCGACGCGGCGCGTGCATCCATCAGCTTCGCGTTCTTCTCCATCTTCATTTGGGTGAGCAGACGCGTGACATCTGCACAGAAGTCATGACCGTGACCCAGATGAAAGTGCTTTTTTACTCCCGAAAATTCAAGCCCGCCACGGTGACCTCCCCCACCCCCCCCCCCACCACTGCGTGACACACGAGAGCGATCTAGGGAGTGTGCCGCTGCTTTGGTTTTCGAGGCTGTGCTGGGTATCGCTTCCGATGTGGTTTTGGGTCGTGGCTCACCGTGTGGTGTTGTTCTGCACAATGTGTCCACACACGTTATACCCCACCACAAGCAGTCTCCCGTGCCGCTATCTGCGGTTTTCCCGTTATACTCCTGAGTGGACAAAGGCGGCGGGATTTAAGAAACTTCCCAGATGTTGCAGCTGTCATGCTGGGAGATGGAACCGGCGACCTCCACATTGCAAAAGCTTTCCAGTAAAAAGGCAAAAAATTATGGGAAACTCAAAGTGATTTTAATGTCGTGAAATTTTACGTCATTGTGAAAAACCATCGTGTGTGTTTTTCAATTGCCGTGTAACGTGTGCAGGGTTCCCTGACGTACAACGCCTACAAACGCTACCAGGTGTTGTCCGACCCGTTTTCCCAATCCTACGCGGACCCCAGCGGCACGCCATACGCGCCCTACACGGCCGGCAGCGGCGTCGACTCGCGCGACTCCTACCAGCAGGGCCCCTTCACCGAGGCCGGCACTGCACGTGGCTACCAGGACCCGTCGTACTGACGGGGCCCCCCAGCTGGCCGGGCCCCACTCCCCTTACCCATGCCACCCTCCCTAACCCTCTAACCCCGTTTCCACTGGTACATCGGAGCCAGGGCCCTCAACTGCAAAAGCCTGGCCTCACAAGACGTGCGAATCTGCCCGAGTACCAGCCAAGCAAGGCGGCCCCTGGGTTGGAGGTCATAAGTTTTGTCACACGTTGTGTTGTTCAGTACGTTGTGTGTGAGCATTCGTGCGTTGCGTGTGACGTCGGCAGCACGGATCAGATTCTGAAGTGGAAAAAACAATCTGGCACCTCCTCTGAGTCTTGTCCGGCTGCCTCGGCATGGCCCCGGCATGTCTCGGTTGTACAGTGGAAAAGGGGTACCTGATCCCTGGGGTGTCGCGCCTACCTGTCAATCCCCACCACCCCCTTTCTTCGGCTCACAATTTTAACATGGTACAAGGGGTCATCCCTGTTGTTGTCATCGTCAGGTGTGTCAGACCCTCACCGGGAGCACGCCTTGCGCAGAATACAGCAGCGTGGGGGTGGCGGTGCCGTGAATGGAGGACTGACGCAGTCCAAGATATATGGGGATCCTCAGACACTCCCATGCCATGAAGCTGTGGAAGGTGGTGATGGTGCTGGTTATATGCCATCCGGGGGATGTTTTCTCAAAAAACAGTGCCCCCTCTTGAACTTCTTATATCACCTAATACACCTCAGTCGTTGTTTTCACGAGAGCTGGACTATCCCATTCAAGTGTTTGATAAAACTCCGCCGATTATCAGTTTGATTACTCGAATAATTGGATAACGCAAAATTTTAGAAGCCTGCTGCAATTTTTAGTCGATTGGTGGACTCGCTCGGCCCATTGTCCCCAGCTGTAGTTTTACAACCTTTGCCTCGTGTCCAGCAACCCCATCTGAGATTTATACAATGTGGTGATACAGAAAACACTGTGTATAGTTTTCGTGATTTTTTGCAGTAAACGTGCGATTATTGGTTTTCATTGTAACATGAATCGAAACTGCAGGATTCAAAACAAATCGAAACACTTTATTTTAAAAAGCCAACGACAACTCTTAATAAAACTTGCCCTGGCTTACATCATTATTGCAAACGTGGGCTCTGGTGCCAATGCGCGCATGGAATTTACAGCACAGCAGATTATATGGATTGGTGGTTGTTTAGATACTCTTTATACCACTAAGCAATGTTAAGTCTCTTTGCCAAATGTACTACAGGGTGGATGAGTTTTGTGTTTTTTTTTTCTACTGTACAAAAGTAATACTTTTGCCAGCATGGAAGAGTAGGCCAAATACGCACGAGAGGGGCTGTAGAGCACTCTCAAGTGGGGGAAGCCCTTCTGCCACCAGTGGCGTGAGCGAGCAATTACAAAAGAAAGTAAAACCAAATACTGTTTACTATATCACTTATGACGTATACCACCCAAAGATGGGGATGAAAAATGTTCCAAGCTGGCACAAGGCAGTATTTTGATGTATAAAAAGAGTCCATAAATATATACACAATTATACATTCTATTTGCCTGTAATTTAGTTTTTTTTACAAGTTACATTAAAATTGAGCGGAAGCCATCTGGGCTCCGAGTGAAGCGTTTCACAGTTCGGAAAAATCTCCGCGATGATTCGCACTTCTGGCCGAGCAACAACCCAGGAATGACATCGTCGGTTTTCTACACCAACCTGTCCACCAAGGGTCTATCTCGCCGCAGCCGTGAGGACCGTTCTCTTCAGCTGTGCAATTGAGCGAGTATTTCCGTCGCATTACCTGTCGGTTCCTCGGTCGGACAGAACAATTAAGCGCAATGCCAAATTTGTACAATGGGGTGGTGTTTTTATTATTCCCCCTCCTGCTGTCGTTGGTGACTTTACCAAGATTCTCAAACTCGTTGCGCTTCGCAGTCTGGTTTAATCACGGCCGGATGAAACCCGGATGCCAACGCAGGATCTCGGCCGTGCCAGCTCTGTACACCGACATGCACGTTCCAAGTCTGCTGAGCGAAAGTGTCCGCTTGCAGCGATGCGACTTTGTCGCAACTTTCTAGCCGGGAAAACCTGAAGGCCCCCTTTGTGTCAGCAGCGCGGCCACTCTTATGGTTGTCGCAGAATAAGCGGCTGGATTTCGTTGCAGTGCCATGTATTTTTCATGGTAATTTTCGTTGTGTTTTTTGCAAACTTTGTTCGCCTTTTCTTTATCAAGGGCTGCTGGCAAAGCATGGTTTTCATTTTGATCCTCTGTTTCAACAGCAAACCTGTGCCGGTTTTTTTTTCAAATCTTAAAATATTTGTTTTCCTCTTGACGATGACATTTTAATTATCAATAATTATATGCATTTTAATTTTGAATGTACGTTTTATATTTGCACTCTGTGATTATTGCCAATGTCTGGTTTGCGTGTCATCCAAACTTTGGATTGTTTATGCAGGTTCTGTAAACTTGGTAAGGTTGTCGTGTTCTGTAAGGTGTCGGCACCTGGGAACACAGTAGCGGTAGGTGCCACTTGGATTAACCAAGACTTCGAGATTTGAAAGTTTAAGATTAGTCCACTTCACTGCACAATCAAACCATAGATTGATGAAGTAGAACCTGTGTGTGTCCACGTGCCATCTTAAAATACGACCAGAGGCATAACCTCACATCTGGTACGTGCGAATTATTCTCTTAAGTGCATTTTTTTTGGTTTGCTTTGTGGGTATAAATGTTTCTTGTGTGAGTGCACTTTAGAATGTGCAGGCGGGCGGTTGTAAGAGTTTCTTGTGTGTACAATGCGGCAGCCCGGACTCGCGTGCTATGCAGGTGGCGTTGTGAACACCAAAATTGAAAAGCGGAAAACAAAAATGTGAAAGAGATCTGCTGATGAAGCACGGGAATTGGGGGTCTCAGGGGGGGATCGTGGCCGGATGGCCAGTTAGGTAGGGATTTTTCGAGCACACTACCAGCAGCGAGTTGGGTAGGATTGTGGTTAATGGGGGGTGGGGTGGAGGCACTAATACAAGTATCTACTTGAGTAGGGTGTGGTAGAGCGGAAGGATTACGACTTAATGTATGGTTGGCTAGGCGGATTGGGCTCGTGCTCATGGCTGGTTGGGTAGGATGGGAGTAATTGAGAGGATGGATAGTGCAGTACTTGTCGTTGGGTAGGATTGTGGTAATTTGGAGAACTATAAAATGGAGATTGCCTAGCGAGTTGGGTCGGGATTTGGTAAGTAATAGCTACGACATTTGCTGGTTGGTTAGGGATGGGTCTCGTGATAGTGGGTATGCCTAACGTTTGATTGGCTAATGTGCTATGCCCCAACACCAATTGCCCTTCCCCGTTATCAGTCTTTGGCCGCTTATTTCAGAATTTTGCAGGGTCACTTGCGTAGCACAGTGTGCGCGTTGCCGGCTACCCCGTGTGGTGGTGTTGTGTTGTGGTGTTCGTCCGTCAGTGGCAGTCCCCCACCCCCCTTGCTGGTCTCCTCCCCGTGGAGCCGTGTTCTTGCTGGCGTGGTTGTGAGTCGTGCCGTGTCGTCGTCTTCGTGATTGGTGGTGGTGGTGCTGTGAGTACCGGTCGTGGTCGTGCAAGGCCCTCTCTCTCTCTCCGTGCATATGTACGCGTGTCTCGATTATCTCTCTCTCTGCATTCATCGTTTCGTAGTGTCCCGTCACCTGCTGCTCGTATGGTTTACAGTTAGAAGTACGAGGAAATTATTTCACCTGCACGCATACAAATCCTGCTCATTCGCTTCGGCCAAAGTGCGTTCAATGAAGTCATCACGTACGATGTAAGTTATTTCTTTTGATAAAGGGCGCGGATGGTACGTTCGTTACTGTGTTTTGAAACCAGCGACCTTGAGTCTTCTTCCCAGTCATGGCTAACGTCAGTGGTGAGTGAGATATGGGCGCTAGTCTTGTGCACACCCCTCCCACCCCTCCTTTACCAACCCGCACGTATCGGCATGGTGAAGTATGGTCAAACAACTCTTGTGACAACGTTGTGGGGGGGGGGGGTGTGCCGAAGACCAGTGTGTATAGCAGCAGCGGATTTGCGTTGCAATTTTTTTTTTGTTTTTCTCATCTCCTGCGCTTCGCTAGAATAAAATATGAAGACTCCATAGGTGTGTGTCGTGTTTAAAGTCGAACGGTATAACTGGAAACGCACGTGTTTGTATCCAATGCTTCGCATCTCTTCCACTCGTCCCCTTGTCGTCATCTCGGTGTCTCCGCAATCGTCGTCCGTCCATACTCCTGTCCCCTCGTGGATGTCCATCGTGCATCGCTGATGCGGTCACACAGGGCGTGTGTAATCGGAGGCAAGCGCGTGTTATCTTCTCGAGTACAGTCATCGGGTTTACAGATTTTTTTTTTTAATGCCAAGGAACACAACCAATCTTTTGAGGTATATCAACTTCACCGTTGATGGCAGTCCATAACTGCGTTTTGCTCCTGTCGGGAATCGGGTTTTTTCTGTTTTTCTCACGTTAGCAGATACAGCCTCAACGATGGTGTTCTTGCTCGGGGTGGTGGTGGTGAGAGGGGAGGCTGTGGGACGTGAATGGCGTTTGTCCTCTAAAGTCTGAAGGGATGTGGTTCAAGTGACTGCTGCACCATCACCACCGGGGTGTTGCGGGCTAGCACGGACATTGAAAAATACGGCTGACGCCAATCGCGATCGGTTTGGGTCCCACGGGGCTTTTATAAATCATAAAATAGAAGATCGAGAGAGAGGTTTGGTGTTGGTGATTTTATTTGTTCGCCGTTTCTGATTGGCTGCAGAAATGTTTTTTGTTTGCGGAGCCATCGGTGTTTCGCCCGTCAGTGCCAGGCAATACGCGGGGAGGGTCCGACGTGTGAAGGAGTCGTGATTTGGTTGCATCGATACTGTGCATCACCTGAGAACATTGGGATGTTGGGCCGCTGACAGCCGTAAGGCTCTCTACGTTGAACGCCGGGTTGATTCTGGTTAGCTGTGGCTGGTTTCGTGAAACCCTTGAAGGTGGCACCCACGCCTTTGCTCACGTACATTGCAGATACAAAACCAATGTAGACCGGAGGCGTCCTTTTTCACAGGTGGCTCACCGGACCGGTGGTGGAAATTCCACATTCTCATGCCAGTGGCCAAATCTCTTTGTATAACCGGCGAGCATTGTATTCTTACCAACGGTGGTACCTGGCGTTTTGATCCTCACGCAAAGCACATGAATGGCTGAATCGACTTTCCTCCGCCCACCCTATTCACCGACCAGAATGTTTTAACTCGGTACATTCAATCTACCTTATGGGCAGCAGAGGGCAGTGCAGCAGAATTCTTCTGCACGATGCTCCCCCCGCCTCCACCAACCTTCACTGACCAGCGTGGTGAAGTATGGTCAAATGTGCCACGTGTTCCGTCCGGTGTGGCGGGGCCCTCTCGGCCAGTGGTGAATTGGTGAAGGGGCAGTGAAGTATTTATTTTAGTCGACTGCATATTATCTGGAGTAAGGGACATGCATGGACAGGTGGACGTGATATTAAAAACGCTTGTACATTTACAAGCAATACCTATAATAGGGGCGAAGATGGCATGTCAAATGGTGGTGGTGGTGGGGGGGTTACCTTTTTGTTAAAATAACCGGTTTACTTCGACAAGTCTGCAGTGACGTGCCGTCGCTCGAGCCACCGGTGAAGAGCTGTTGACATTGAAACCACAACCGATGCGTTTCTCGTGAAGAAACGCGGTTTATTCACAAAAAAAACACCCCGATGCTTTTTCGATTACACCCATCTCTTGCGTAGCCAGCCACGTGGATGCACGCGCCGCTGTTGGGGAGTGCAGGCGTTTGTCGAGTACTGATCTTTTGATATTCGTCGTCAACATCGAACGTGTGCGCGACTAGCCTCTGTATAGATATACATATAGGTGTTATGTGACGGTGCGTGGGTGGGAGGGAGAGCAAAAACAAATCTCTATATATATGAAATGTTATGATTGTGACGTGTTTTAGATTCGCATTCCGATCGAATGTGATGATCGTGCGCGCGAGCGCGCGTTTGGTTTGTGGTGGATGTCGACATCTGCTCCTGCCACTTTGAAACGACGACAACAATAAAAAAAAATATGCAAACTAATAAAAATGTGGAGAAGAGGGTGAATCAAAAAGCATTCTGTCCCTGCGGTTCACGACGGGTGAGTGTGAGAGTGAGTGCTGGTGGTACGGAGATTCGACGATTTGCTGTCGTGTAGCGAGCGGTTAGCGCTGCGCTATGAACCCGGCAACCCGGGTTCGATTCCCGATCACGGCCAACACCAGTGGCGATTGTCTGAACCGGTCCTGGGCCTCTCCTAGGTCGACTCAGCCTCACATGAGTACCTGGTGTGATGTGTAAACATTGCCTCGAGGGAGACAAAGGCGGTCACCCTCTCGTGTGCCGTGCCGGCCTTCATAGGTGCTTGCCAACAGCATTTACCCCAACAGTCTTGTTAAGGCTATACGGGGGGGGTCTTTGTATTTGGGCAGTATGCGTGTGGGCACACGTGCATCTGAGTACACC